TTGAGTCCTTGGTGTCTTCCGGGCGCTTTCCTCCTTGTTGGTAGCATTCCTTGTCCGAGTGAAACGTAGTGTTGTGCTTGGAGCAACGCTTGGTAGCTCCGGCGGGCTTCGTTCTCTTCTTCGCCCTGTTCTTGAACTTGGGGCAGTTCCTCCTGATGTGCCCCGGCTCGTAGCAGCTGTGGCAGATGATGTCAGACGCGGTCGATGCCGTGGCAAATTCTCGACCACCTATGCGTCCCTTCCATCCCTTGCGCGATTGTTCGTCCGAGAAGATGTTGCGCATGGTGGATTGCATGTCCAGGGCGTTGAAGGTTGGGTCCCTGACCACCATCAGTTTGAAGCCCTTATATTCGTCGGAAAAGCCCTGTACGCAGATGTTCTTGAAGCGGCGGTCAGAGATGGGTTCTCCCATCTTATCCAGGTGGGCGCGAAGTAGGTGCTTCTGGTTGAAGTAGTCGTCGGGATTTTCACCAGGGTTCATGGGCTTGTTCTCCAGCTCCTCCATCTTGGCCCTGATGACCTCGTCCGTTACCCTGTCATAGTTGTTGCAGAGCTCCTCGAAGGCAGCTTGTCCGTCGCCGCTAATGCCAGTGTCGCCTTCGTGCTTTTGTACCGACAAGGCGGTTGGAAGTTCCACGAGGAGGAAAAGAATGGCGTAGAGATCTTCGTTTGCCCTTGCGTAGGAGTCGAAGGCCGCTGTGTTTACGGGATCTGGCTTCCTCTGTTTCTTCAGCAGTGCCAGGGTGTCCTTCCTGGTCACACCTAACACCACGTAGAATTTATTCATCCATGTCTTGAACTCAGCTGGGTCCTTTCCGTCGAATTTCTTGAGGCCTTTGATCACGGTTGCCAGGTTTGTAGAACTATCGCTGGCGAACGCGCTTCCACCTCCTGTGTTGCTCGTTGAGGTATCCATTGCTCGTCCCAGCTTTATTTTCTTCGTCCTGATAACAGTACTTCCTGCTGCAGGAGTAGTTTGCTCGTGTTACTACTGCCTGTACCCGAGACTTCCCCACCCCGTTCCTGCTACTGATCTAGAGGACTCCGGTTGTGGTTTTCTTGTTTC